GTCAAAATTCTTTGACTAAAGAATGGAAACCATACTTAATCTAAACCCAAAGGACTAGTTTGTTCTAAGAATATAAACGTCATGTGAATCCTAAAGGGATTGGAATGGGAGGTGGCCGGGTTTGAAGGACTGAGGAGTCCTTTCCTTGTCACAGTCGGCTTCATTCTTCTCCTGGAAGACTGACTTTTCTCCTCCCCTCCTTCAATATACCGAATAAAGCTGCCTACCTCTCAGCTCCCAAATCATACATTCAGGTTTAGCTGTTTTTGGGCCTCAACTACTCATCAAGAGCATGACTGGCCTAGCTTGACAGGTGTGCGTCGAGAGTCAAAAGTGTGGGCCGAGGCTCAGTGAGTCCACCTGACGGGCTGTGTGGGGGCTAGCATGTTCTCTAATGGGAAATAGTCAACGAACTGAGAGAAACCTCCAGAGGTATCAACTAGTATGCTTTGGTTCTCTTCAAAATGATTTCATTTGCACAATCTTAGTTGACGAGCGGATCCAGTGCTTATGTGAGGCCTACTTAGTATCTAGTAGTGAGTCGCTTTTGGAAAGCTAATATGTTCCAAACTACTCTATTCATGCTGTCTGAATACCAACAAATATGCAACTTCTGCTCACTTTAGACCTTTCATCACTGGCGATAAAGTATATCCCAGATTAAGCTCAGGTGATGCTAGTGAGACTTTGATGAAAGAATAGCTTCTGAATACAAAATCATGCGGAACTTCATTAAAACACTGCCCCTCCCCAACAAAAAAAAAGAAAGAAAAAAAAAACAGCAAGAAAACATCTCAATTAAAGGCCACTTTTGTTTTAAAAAAATGGCAAGTTCATATAGTCACACTCTATAATTTAGGCAAAGATAATTGAAACTACAAAATGTTTCTTTTACTATATTGTATATTTTTAAGTTTTTATTACTGATCAGATTAGGTTCTCTTCTTCCAGTGAAAAAGCCAAAAGAAATGTGAATAACCATGTAATATTCAGGTTAATGCTTACTTATAGCTGTCAATTTGGGCAACTCATTAATATCCAGGGATCATTTTTTCACCATGTAGCTATAATGGTTTTCAGAACAATTGTGAGGATCCAGCCTCCTGGTCAGTGAAAAGCATCATCTAAAGAAAATAAGATCGGTTTTTAGGCCTGAAAAAAAAAAAACTGTTTGGAACTCTGAAGACTGATTATATCAGCCTGCAAACATCTCAGTATTTTAATCTCACGTTATACAAAATACTTTTGGATCCACTGCCAGCAAGATAAAAACAAATTAAACTGAAAGGCTGGCATGAACTAAATATCTTATTCTGGACGCACCATCACTGACGGCTTCAGAAAAAAATAAAATAGAATGGATCCTTCAAAATATTTTTCCAAAGGGCAGACAATACTACCAAAAAAGAGTCCAAAACTAAAGCATAACGATCTACAAATACAGGAGTGTGATTCTCCTCACTGCTCTTGTAATTCTTTCTCCATACAGTCGTACAGTTCTTATTAACCTCTGGGCGGAGAGAGCTGTTTGCTGGGCTAGAAGCTCTCCTGGGCACGTCTTCTTCATGGGTACTTTCCCCAAACTGGTAAACACAGCACTCTATGTAATCAGTGTTCAGAAACTTTAATTATTTTTTTATTTTTTGTGGTAACTCTTGGTTGACCTCACAGATTGCAAAGACCTCGTCAGCTTGCAATCCCTTATTTTTTCATTTTTTTATGCCTCCAGCACCTGGTCTTCCTAGGTGGTCTTCCACCCAAGTACTAGCCAGGCCCGAACCTGCTTAGCTTCCGAGATTAGATGGGATCAGGCTTGTTCAGGGTAGCATGGCCGTAGACCAAAAACTTTCTTAAAATGAAAGAACAGCGTGTTCTTTTGCTATTTGCAAAATTCCTTCATTGTTTACAATTCCTGAAAAATAAAATGAACCTGGTCTCCGGCCAATCTGAAATTACTTTCCTATTCACATAGTTCTTTTACTTCTGCTGTTCCTTCTGCCTGGATGCCTTTCATAATCTTCCTTAATCTTATCCATTCTTCATATCCTATGGCAAATAGCCCCTTCTCCATGAGGCTTTCCCTGATCTCCCCAGCTAGGAGTAATCTTTCCTTCTTTTGAAGTACCATAGTAATCACCATGACCAATTACATTACATAAATGACTATCTCCTAAGTAAGAGCAAGCACACAGCCATGACTCATAAAATACGTACTAGGAGACTCCCTTAAAGCCTATGGCTCCTATGGGGTGTAAGATTTCTAATTCAGGATGCTCCCACATCCTCCTAATGAGGATCTCTTCTTGCATTCGAGCACTCTCTGGGAAGACAAAGAATGCTCCCAGGCAGCTTTCTGACCTGCTGTGTGACAGCTGCATGCACTATGCCCACAGAACATCTGAAGCATTTCTGCGGGCAGGCTGTGACTTTCTGAACGACCCAAATGCCACGTGTGGCCTATGAGAGTCCTCATATGAGTCTGAACATTTAGTTGAAACTATAACAACCTTCGGTGGGTAATTTCAACAAGGTTTTCAAGTACCTCATTATGGAAATTAAATGAAATTGTACATGTAAAGTTCTTAAATGGTGTCTGGCATGTAATAATAACTCAATGAATGTTATTGTTGCCCATGGTCAGAAACATGAGTGTCTATTCCCAAATCTATTTGCTATGATCTGAATATGTTCTTCTAAAATTCGTATGTTGAAGCCCTAATGTGATGGTTTCCGAGGTGGGGCCTTCGGGAGGTAATTAGGTAAGGAGGGTGGAGCCCTGTGATGGAACTAGTATCCTTACAGCCCTTGTGTCCCCACATAAAGATAAATGAGAAGCTGCCATCTACAAATCAGGAAGAGGGCCTTCAAGGAGAAACTGACCATGCTGGCACCTTGACCTCAGACTCCCAGCCCCCAGAACTGTGAGAAATAAATGTTTGTTGTTTAAGCCCCCCAGCCTATGGTATTCAGTTGCAGCAGCTGAACTAAGACACTATTAATGACATGTAGGCCTTATTATAATTATCTGAGGAAATAATGATGAACTGTGAGTGTAAAGAGTTTCTCCCTCTAAGAAAACTAAGTGAAACATTCTGGAAAAACTTGAAAAAAAGGCAAGTCACTAAAATGTTTTGCCATTGAAGTACGTGTAAGAAACGTATAAAACAATTCGGGGGGCGGGGAGCAGAAAGGGGGGGCCCAGATCACAAACTTGGATGCCCTCACTACCTTCTGGCTCCTGCTCCACTTTAAAGACACCCAAACGAGCTCAGAGTGGGCATGATGTGGAATTCTAATCAGTAGACCCACACACGAAACAGCAACAACAAAACACCTTGGCTCTACATCAGAAGACTTGCAAATATACCAAAATTATTGAAGTTAATACAAAATATTTTTCTCTGTCTCCTTCTTCCTGTCTCTTCTCATGTATAATTTTTATGATTTCAATAGGCCTCTGCCTTTGATTATGACAAAGAGTTGCAAGGGCTATGAGAAATGGCACACGCGCACACACGCGCACACGCGCACGCACACAAAAGGCCAAGTAATGCTGTAGGAATCAGGGTCAGGAAAGGTACAGAGAAAGGGACACAAGCTGAGTGGACAGAGAGCACAGGAAAAAGGCACTGGAGACACAAGAGAAACGTGAACAAAGTCGCAGAGGCCCAAGTACCATGGCTTGTTAAGAAAATAGAACAAGGGGTTAAAAACAGAGACCAAGGAACCAAGTAGCGTCTGGATCTTCAAGGACCTTACAACGCGGCTACAGAAGATGGACTCTGAGAAAAACACGGAGCAAACACAGAATTTCGAACAGCAGGATAGTATAATTGGATGCGCATCCTCAGAAGGTCGTTATAGAAGCAGCGGTAAGGTTGATCTGGGGTATGGAGACTGTTAGGCTTGAAAAGAAAAAAAATTACTTCAAGAGTCCAAGCAAAAAAAAAAAAAAAGGACACAAGCGCCTGGGACTAGGTAAGAAGAAATAGAAAACACTGTGAAGGTAGGATAAACAGGGTTGAGCGGAAGTTCTTAGCCATGGAAGTCTAAAGAGCGGAGGGAGTACAGAGAAAGGCTTTGCTTTGCTGCTTTGGCGACTCTGGAGGTCGTGGACAAATTGTTCTCCCAGATTATGTTAAAGGACAAAAGGAAGATGTGCAGAATAAGTCAACCCAGGTCACCTGGGGCACGAGGCGCCTGTGCAGAAGGCGGGGACGCCCACTGACTGGCTGGTCTGGGCCGCAGCAGGCCACCTACCAGGCCGCGGGGGTGGACGCTGTCCCTGATGGTCTCCGAGGAGGGTAATGGCCCGGGGCAGAAGCCAGAGTGACATCGCTGCCCGCGGGGACACTGAGGCAGGGGACGGAAGGACACCAAGGCCAGTCTGAGGCGGGGACGCCCCCAGGCCACGGCCCGAGACGCTTCCAGAAGGAGCAGCGGGACGGGGGAGGGGAGGAACTTTGGTGAAACCGACAGCATCCCACTGATTCGGCAATTTCGGGGACACGAGGGAGCGGGCGCCCCAGAAGGCCACCCTGCCACCTGAGCGCGAGCCCTGTCACGCGTCACCCGACCTGCCCCGAGTCCCGGATCTCCGGAAGCCCCGATGCACGTCCCGCTCGGGTGAGAGCGCCCTCCACGTCCCCTACACCCCAACTTCTGAGCCCGCGGAAACCCGGACCATGACCTCGCCTCTGACCCCCTCCCGGAGACTCACGAAAATTCAAGCACTTCGTGTTGTGTCTCCAAAGCTTTGTCCGTACTTTACAAGGCTTTGTACTGTTTGTTGTGCATGTGGCTCAAAACAAAGGACGAGCCCGCCCAGAAAGTGGAGGAGACCTGAGGCCGGGGAGGACACGCGCGCACAGGGCCCTCGTGCGGGGATGGAAAGCCCGCGCCTCCCGTGAGCCAGCGGGGCCGCGGGACCACGGCTCCCGGCATCCTCCGCGACGCTCCGGCGCGTCGGGCGGCAGGCGCTCGGGGGCCGGGCTCGGTAGCCCTGCGGGATGGCAACTCCTGAGGAGGAGTCTGAAGCCCCCACGGAGCAGCTGGACATCGCGTGCGGCCTGGAGAACTTGCCCGTGACTGCGTGGCCCCCGGGGGCGGCGCCAGAGCCCTTCCAGGTAGGGGACGGGGCCAGAGCCGATCCAGGTAGGGGGCGGGGCTCGGCCTCCGAGAGAGGCGTGGGGCGGGGCTTCACGGGCAGGAGCGCTGCGCGCGTAGCCACTGGGGTGGGGCCTGCGCCCTCCGAGTAGGGGGCGGGGCTCGACGGCCAGGAGCGCTGCGCGCGCAGCCAATAGAGGGGCCTGCGCCCTCCGAGTAGGGGGCGGGGCTAGGTGGCCCCGCAGCTTCTCAGGTGCTCGCAGTTCTGTGGTTGATGGCAGGTGACCTCCAGACTCTTCTACCTGTTTTCTTACTCCTTCGCACAGGTATTTGTGGGCAAGAATAGCTCCTAAAAGCACAGGTTTCTGTCATTCTCATGTTAACCCTCCAGAATAACCTTAACCAGAGCATTCCTCTTTTCTGCCCATACCCCGGCAGTTCCCTGAAGGGCAAAACCAGAGGCTTCGTGAGGTCCCTTGAAAAGGCCTGAGAATCTGGCTTTTTGCCCTGTTACTTCCCCCAGAACTCGCAGAGAGATCTGGGGCAAATCCTTAACCTCTCAGGTCTCAGGTGTCTCATGGGGGCCTATTAACCCATCTCAGCCTAGTATCATGGTTAAAAACTTGTCTCCTAGAGTCAGACTTAGCTGAATCTCCCTCATGCTGTAAGCGCTTGGGCAAATATAAACTAGCTTCGGGTAAGCCTTAGAGTTCTCCCGCATGCAATTAATAGTACCTCTCTCCCGGTTGCTTCGAAAATTACAAGTAAAATACAGTTCCTGGTTTGCTGAAAGAACTCAGTAGACGTTAACTACTGTTACTACCTCAAAGCCCTTCTCTACCTTTCTCACACCTCTGACCTTGGCCTGAATGTTGCCTAGGGAATAAGGAATGACCAAAGAAAAAAGGTGTTGGAGGGGATGGAGCACTGGACTTAGAGGTTGATGGCTTAGCATCTTAGCCATTTCTCAGAGCCTGAGTTTCTTCATCTGCAAAATGCAGTTAAAATATATAGCCCTTGTCACATCGATTCTCAATATTGAACCCTGTCTGTTCTTCCTGCTTCCTAGGCTTGTTTGAGGAGCAAATAAAACATTAGACGCAATAGCAATTTTCAGAGTAGAGCAGGATGTTAATGTCAGAAGTGGTTATTTTTCCTCAAAGCACCTTAGGTAATTTAAGCTTAACAATACAGTTGCCTAGCACCATATTAAACACTGATCTCTAAAATCTTATTCAAAACCAAACATTGCTGAATGCCTGGTCAAAAACACTGATATATGTTTTCTTTATTCAACAAATAATTGAGTGCCTGTTATGTGCCAGGCACCATCTTAAGCTAGGCACATAAAATTAAATGGTTGACAACACACAGTTCCTGCCCTTGAGCTTACAAGAGCAAATAAAAAGCACTTGATTGCTAATAAAAGCGGGGGAGGGGAGGAAGCCTTGTGATAACCTTGCGATTGATCCTTATACCTGCAATTGATGGGTGTAAAGGAAAATCCAGAGACAGACTCGATCCCACTGTCAGCTGCTTGGCTGTGTGCACAGCTCTGGTGGAGTTAGAGTTGCAGAAAGAAGACACGATCCCTTCCTTCCTCAGGGAATTTATAGTCTCACCAAGAAGATAAAAAATGCTCAAAACACTTAAATGACAAGCCTCAAAGTCCTTGCAACTGCTTTGCTTCCACATATTCATGGAGCACAAAAACAAGTCTTATACAAGGTCAAAAGAGTTTGCTTGTCCCAAACCCTGCCTTCACGGGCATATGCACACCTAAGAAATAAGGCATGAAAAATTCAAGTTAAAAATAACTTGGTGTTTAGTTAGCTTTTGGGTATTGTGTGAAAAGGCAAAAAAGAACATCCAAATGTTCAGACCGGAAGCAAGCATATCATAACGCCATCAATACTGAAACCTAAGTAGAAAAGAAACCATTGATTTTTCTTGAACTGAGAGTTGGACCTAGCCATTTTTCAGGTTTCTGAAACCAGCTTCAAACATCTTTGTTAAGATCTCAACTTGCCCTTGAAAAGAATTATCTGGCTCACAGTCTCCTAATAGCTGCTTGGAGCAAAAACAAACTCATGGGGCTAGAGGCCAAGTACAAAGATTCTTGTAGCTGGCGTTTCAAAACAACCAAAAAAGGAATGAGGATTTTCACAGCACTTGCTTAAAATTCAAAATCAAGGCCTAGATTTTAAGCCCACAATATTGTATGGTTTCATACTTCAGTTTCTGGAGCTTCAATACAGAATGTAACTCAGAAATGTCAGACCTCCTATCGAAAGTTATCAAGAGCTGCAATCAAGCAATCAAAATTATTTCCTTGGTCACCTGCTCTGTGACCACTACTACGAATAGGCACCTGACCCCTCACCATACCACACTGCAGACCTCAGGACCATGCCTTTCCTTGAGACGAGTTTTTGTTTAAAAGACATTTAGTACCAGTGGAGAGCCCTACAGTTTACGCCATTTAGATCCCAAAGTTCATGGCACTGCGTGCAGGTGTGGTGAAGGGGAGAGGTACTGAGTATGAGAACACCAAGGAGGTGGATTTGCTCTTCAGCGTGCTGTCTCCAGCTTCCATTTTGGCTTCTTGGGTGACCATGTTTATAAAAAACTTTTCTCTGAAGTTTTCTGTCAAAAGATATGCAGTTTCCACCCAGTTCTTCAAGGCTCTGGTTTCCAGCGCATCATTTCGCACTGAGCATTTTGCATTTATTCCCAAATCTCGCATAATCAATTCCATACCAGGAAAAAGTAAAGCTTATGTTATAACAATACCAAAAACGTGATAAAAATTTCATTCCCCGTGCCCTCTTTTCTATTTTCCTGAGTGGTTTTTCCTCTTACACACACATGCGTGTAATAGGCAGCAAGGCAACATTTGTTGATAACTTAAAGACGTCTTGGCTGAGTCAGCTCTTGGTTCTCCCCCATCAAGACGGACAAGCGATAGAGGGGAGAAATGTAATCAGATGGTTTCCGAGACATAATTTGGGTTTGACTGCATTTGAACCTGAGCAGTTTGACCCCAGAACCCGCTGCTTCTTACCACCCTATTGGATAGCCCGTATAAATCACACCGAACACGTACGTGCCAGCCACCAGAGGAAGCTGTGCACATGGATTCGCTCTATTTTTCCTTCACGGCACCCTGTGAGATAGAAAGGAAATGTTTGGAAGAATTGAAGGAAGCTACTATTTTAAAAGCATCAAGTGCCTGACATTGAGTAGTGTTATGTTATTTGAATTTCACGAGAACCCACCCAGATACAGGTATTATTTCTGTTTCATAGTTGCTAACCAAAGCTTAGCAAGTCCCTTGCCCTAAGTCACAAAGCTAGTAATATTCTGGTTCTGTGTGTGTCTCCTTTAGGAGATTCCGTGTTCTGCATTAAGCAGTTCCCTGCTTGCCCGGGGCTCCAGACCACAGTCACGGTTTTCCTGTCCGGCCTCCTGCACAGTGTTCAGTGTCACCTCCCAATTCGAGTCCTCATTGTTCATTAGCCATTTATATCTTTCACTAAATTGCCCAGCCATTTCCTAGACCCATTATCAGCTTCCAGCCCGTGTGTACTAGTCAAGACTCATTTGTTTGCAAGAAACAGAAATGACACAGACTGACTTGAACCAAAAAGGGAAGGAACTGCCTCACATAACGGGGAAGCCTGGACCCAAACTCGAACAGTGTCAGCTACATTGCTTTCCCCCAGCTCCCTGCTTCGCACCCCCGTGCCCCTTTCCTGGTTACACCCTTGGTAGCGGGTCTTACGTGTGTGGTAGAATTTGGGGATGCCAGGTGAACACTCCGCAGCAGAAAAAGAGTGCATCACCCTAATTGTTTCAGCAGAAGTCCCAGAATTGAATGTCGTTGGTCTGTCTTAGGTCCCGTGTCCATCTGTGAACCAAACACTGATGAAAAGAGCGAGTGTTGCTAAGGTTGGCCAGGTCTAGGTCCCTGCCCAACCCGGACCCCCCTCCAAGGCAGAGACAAGGGTGGCAAGGGCTCCCCTGGGAGGAGTCAGGGTGCTGTTATCAGAAGCGAAGGGATGGATGCTGGGGAGGTAATAACCTGTCTTCTGAGGTCACATCCCCCAAGGGGGATCTCCTCGGCTTAGCGTAAGCACAGAAGCCGTCAGGGTACCCCACTTCTGGATGAGTTTGGTCCTGGGCTTTGTCCCAGGAAACAGGGTGCAGAATGTGGAGAGCCACAAATTAGGAGTATTGTAGCTCCCGTCAGTGACTCCCAATGTGTAACACATTTAACAATAGTTTTCAGATACTCAAAATTTAACAGTTCACATGGCATATAAATATTTGAATAGAATGTCAGATCAGTGGCATCAGATTATTTCTGAAAAGACTAACTTTTCAACAAATAGTTGGATACTTGAAAAGATGGATAATTACATAATCATGTTATATCAGACCATGGTTTTCAAAAGAATATTCTTTAGTATAGCCATTTTTCTAAGTTAGGTAAAATAACTCTCTGAAATGGTATTTTACTGACCTTTGAATGTGAAACGAAACATATGGAGATAAAATGATTGGTGATGATTATTGGTATCAGGGTCAGTGATTACATCCATCAAGGGAAAAAAAAATACCCTCTTTAAACAGGAAGTTTATCCAGCAATCTCTATTATCTTTTTATTCATTTATCTTACCTCTTTGTAAGCCTCATTAAATCCTTTTGGAACAAAGCAGGTGTGCTATTATGATGTATAAAAAGCAACATATATTTGGTCTTTGTCCCAGTTTCTGGCACCGAGCTCCTCAAACTCTCAGAATTGCCTAAGTGCTGAGGCCTCAGTGTGACATAGGTAAGCGCCTAAGGATGTGGGCTGGTTGCCAGCAGAGGCAGCCATGTGATTGGAACTTTCTGCCCTACCCACTGCCATCTCCAGGGAGTGGAGAGGGGCTGAGGCTCAGTCAGTCACCAGTAGCCAGTGCTTTAATAATCCTGACTACGTAATGGAGCCTCCACACAAACCCGGAGGACAGGGAGCTTCCAGGCCGGGGAACGTGTGGAGGCACCCCTAGAGCGGGTGTGGGAGCTCCATGCCCTTCCCCAGCACCCACCCTGTGCGTCTCTTCCATCCAGCTGTTCTTGAGTTACATACTTTATAATAAACCCGTAATCCATTGAGTAAAATGTTTCTGAGTTTTGGGAGCCACTCTGGCAACTTAACTGAACCCAAGGAGGGGTTCTTGGGAACCTCGGATTTATAGGCAGTCTGTCAGAAATGCAGGTAACAACCTAGATTTCAACTGGTGCCTAAAGTGGGGGATGGGCAGTCTTGTAGGACTGAATCTTTATCCTGTGGGAAGTGATGTCATCTCCTGGCAGATGGTGTCAGAATTGAGTTGAATTGTGGGACACCCAGCTGGTATCCAGAGCATTGCTTGTTGGAGCAGGGACACCTCCACTCCCACCCCCATTGAAATTGGGTCCCAGGCCACTAATGGTGGCTATAAATGAACGAGCTGGGTCCCATGCAAGCAAGAATTAGTCTGTTCATAAAGAAATATTCTGGGCTCATGAGAGATGCTTAAATCTTCAGGGTTTCAAAATATCCTTCATTATGCCAGTGAAGAAATAACCAGACATCCACACTTCATAGAGATTATATAGACTTAGGACTTTCTTTTTTGTCACATTTTATAAATGTAAAATTTTGAGAAACTTTTTCCTATTACCCCTTTCTCATTTAATAAGAATAAGATTTCTTTACATGTATACAATACATCTGCAGTAAATTTAAGTATTAACAAGTATGTAACAAATACGATTTTTGGAATTCCATATATAATTTCATGGCCAAATGCCTTTCTTAACATTGTGAAGATTTAAATAAAACTACAAATAGCATCTTTTTTAAAACATCAGGGTATTTAAGAATTTACGTAACCTTCCAATAAGAAAATTATTTTTAAAAAACTCAATGGAAAACTCTCTAACCCAGGCCATTTTTCATTGATTTATCATTTATGATTTTCTTATCCCCAAAAAAGATCTTAAGTGACTGACAATAAAAATACTTGTATGCATTTTTATTATCAGATAAATGTAA